TTACGAACGAAGAAACAGGTGGTATCGAAGGATGCAGGAAAAAAGTTCGAATCATAACAGGATTCTTAACAGGACACTACGGACTGAACGGGCTATTTGTGGAAGATTGATATTACCTCAACAGGGTACGTGCAGATTCTGCAAGGAAACAGTGAACTCACCACCACACCAACTAACAACTGTGGTGCCAGTGATTTGGGATGTACAACGTAACCGTAGAAAATATCCCTACTGGTCAAATTCCTTGACGGAATAGGACTCACCGGCATGTTTTAGGTACAAAACAGGGGATAGGGGATACAATAGCTCTCAAAGAGCACAGTATATTACACACCCCCAATACTACATCTGCATCTACATCTATAACAAAGAGTTTTCTATGCTTGGCAACTGTAACTCTAGTTCGTTTCTTCTTTTGCTTCAAGTGAACCCATTACTACATGGCGGAGACTGCAGATCCACCTCCGGTTTGTCTGTTTGTTCAAATTCCTTTGTACCATGGCAACCAAGATATTATATTTCCCCAAGTTTTGAGGTTTGGGAAGCATTCACCGACTATTTAGTAGAAATTATAAATGATGGGTTGAGTGTGGAGTTCATCCTTTTTAAAAAAGGACAATTTTGTATGTGATATTTTTACATGTTTATGTTTTTATGGCTTGGTTGTGTGTTCTTACGATGATTGTCAGTATAAATTCTGTTAAGATTTTCTACGGCATACTCTTTAAGACATTTCTGATTGAATTATCAAGGTTAATTCACCTAATGAGTTTCATGGCTCATAGTTTGGCCTTCCCTGGTTTTCGATGTTCTCTGTATTCCATGTTACATTGCGTTTGATTTTCTACTGATTTCCTCTTTACCTTTGTGTCAGTTAAAACTTTATAGGATCTTTCCGGGATCATATAGGAAGTCATCTTTTAAAACAATTGGCTCCTGATTTTGTTTTTATTGATGAATGCACGAAATGTTTAGTAACGTAATAATAATACACTGGGATTACCGGACATAAATAATACAGTAAGTAAACACCGATCAATCTCACTTTTATATATTTATCGGGAGATTAGATTAAACCAGGATTGAAATTCACAGTATCCCCTGGCAATTTCCTGTTTTAGCTGTCGAGATCGCTGCCCTCTCACTCGTTCACCTATTTAGATATGCACGCTGCATTTGGCGATACGTGTGCTACCATATTTTGCAGATTTCGGTTATAACGATTTTTCACGTCCATTTTGAAATATTTTGTGTTAGATCAACGAACTTTGCACTGTAATTTTGATGTTACAGATCATTTTCGTTCGCCTGTATTCGCTTGGTCTTATCTCAGACACGGAGAAATTTCCCGTTTTAACATTTTTAACTACATATTATACTGTAAATAGGCATTTTTAAGGTCATTACCTTGCATTTAAAATAAAAAATTGTCATGGATGTAATAATCTATAGGCAAGATAACCGAAGACTTTCAAACAATGGCAACGTTTGGTTTATCTCGGTATACTTTAGACTAGTATTAACGATGTACGGATACAACTTATCGCCTATGCGTTATCAAAAACTTAAAACCGTTTCTTTTTCTTTTTCTGTTGATATATTCGTTTTAAATACTAGGACTCGATAGAAAGACAAACAATTTTAAACAATCAATCTTGATTTTTAAATAAACCTTTATTTCACGGAGAGGACATTTGAAACAATTGCTTATCACCTAAGAATTATCCGAGCCTGCAATTTAAACCTTCGGCTTGTTGACTGCCTTGATCGAGTTTCTCATCTTACTGGGAAAAAACAAACAAGAAATGGATCCTGAAATATAAAATTCACCTATGTATCGAAATGTTGTATTAAAATAACCACAAATGAATCTTAGTCGTGATATGATCTCTACGGATCCACTAATCCAAGAAATTCACGAGAAACCCATCTCGGATCCCAGGACATTGGTATTAGACGGAAAAGCCGACCGAGCAGCCAAAATAACAGCAAGGAGATACGGAGACCTCGGTAAGTCCATCGGATGTGAAAAATTCTCTCAAAAACAATGCCGAAAAGAATGGCAGAACGGTTGAACCTCCATCACAAATTACATGAAACGAAACAGTCTGACAAATCGTGGCCCATGGAAATGGGGAAAGATACGATCATATTGACTCTCTTGCAGAAAGGTCACACCAGGCTGACACATGGGAATTTCCTTGTTCGAAAGATCATGAATATGCTATTTATGCGGCGTATAAGTATCTAGAAATCATATTTTAACAGAGTACGAGGAATTAAGAAGCAGATAAACGTATATGGTCGCATATAGGGAACCATTTCATACGTAGGTTCAAATATCCTCTAGCGGACTAATGGAATATCGAGTACCCACAGACCTGCCGAACCAATTAGGTTGACTTAGGATATTAATCATTAATAATAAGTGGCATACAAACGGCAAAACCTCTGGTGTACTTAGCATTTTAGTAAAAGTCAAACAATTTTTGTGAGTGTATTGGTTCTGAGATTCACAGATATTCGTGTAACATGAGAAGATAATACGTCTGTACGTAAATTGAAGTTTATTTTAAGTTAAGCTGTTCGTTCACAATATTTCAAAGTAGAAACAAATTTTACAAGGGACAATTAACTGAAACTGGTGAAAAGTGATGAAAGTTCACCCATAAGTGTGTCACAATTAACTAGTAATTGTTTTTTTTATGAAGGGATGGGCCCAACCTAGACTTTGTCTAGGTCCCAGAGGAAATCCCTCGATCGGTCTGACTATAATTATTCAAATTTGCCAGATACCTTTTTTTTTAATTGATTTTACTTTTAACAATAAAATTGACCTTTATTTGTTATAATGAATAAATTTTGAAATGTTAGAATTAAAGAGATGAAATAAACAAAATTAAAATTTTATATCTTCAGAATATTATTTAATAGTTTAAGTGAGACTTTTAAACAAGATAAAAAAACAAAATTAAATAAAATGTAAGAAAATATAATTTAACCCTCTGGTTTTTCCTTTTTTTTTATTTTAAGAGAAGAATGAAGTTAAAATTTGAATTTGCAGTATTGAAGGAATAGTATTTTGTTTTACTCACAGGACCAATTATTAAACGGAGCGTCTTACTCGGGCGGAGGTCTTTCTCTCACTGGCTTAAATCCCAAAGTGAGTAAACAAAACAATATTAAGGGGATTGTCTCACACAGTGTGACAAGTGTATGTGCGTGTGCGTGTTTAGATCATAAATATTATATAATATGTAAGATGAGAAGTGGAGGGATGTTATAAAGGGCGTCCACTTTAAACGGGGTTCCAACGGCTATCATACGAACACAATAGACATTAAAGACCTAATGGATAGAATAACAGTAGAAGCGTTCAGGCTTTACTTTCATGTGAAAAAGATAATCTATTAAAGTTGTGGTTTGTAGTAAATGTTGGGGGGGGGGGATAATATTAAGATATGTATACTATCATGTACTTTATATATTTATACATAGCTCAATGTCTACTGGTGTCTTTATACAGTATTAAATTATTATGATTTGTAATTAATTAATTGGGGTACAATATTTTTTTAAAATTCACTCAGTGTTGAGAGAGGAAGAGAAAACTTGGGAAAGAGAGTGAAAGAGAAAGATAGAGAGATGGATGCGATTTTATTTAGAACCGCAGAATTTGGATTTGGTCAACGAAACAGTGATAGATAAATAGATAGATACGTAGATAAATAGAGAGATAGATAGATAGATAGATAGATAGATAGATAGATAGATAGATAGATAGATAGATAGATAGATAGATAGATAGATAGAGAGAGAGAACGAGAATAAGATGAGTGAGAGTAAGAGAGAGAGAGANAGAGAAAGGATAGTGAGAGAAAGAGGGGGAAAGGTGAGTAAGTGAGAGAAGGAAAGGTGAGTGAGTGAGAGAGAAAGGTGAGTGAGAGAGAGAAAGGTGAGAGAGTAAGTGAGAGAGAGAGAGAGAAAGAGAGAGAGAGTGAGAGAAAGAGAGAGAGAGAGAGGGAGAGGGAGAGAGAGAGAGTGAGAGAGAGAGAGAGAGAGAAAGGTGAGTGAGAGAAAGAGAGTAAGGTGAGTGAGAGAGAGTTAGGGAGTAAGGTGAGTGAGAGAGAGAAAAATGAGTGAGAAAGGGAGAGAAAGGTGAGGGAGAGATAGGAAAGGTGAGCAAGTGAGAGAGAGAAAGGTGAGTTTGTAAGAGAGGGAAAGGTGAGTGAGAGAGAGAGTTAGGGAGTAAGGTGAGTAAGAGAGAGAAAAATGATTGAGAGAGGGAGAGAGGAAAAGGTGAGTGAGAGAGAAAGGTGAGTGTGAATGATGGGGTAGTGAATGTGAATTGGAAAGAGATTAATGTTTATATGACAATTGATAAAAAATAAATACTTAAAATACATGCACAAAAAAAAACAAAAAAAAACGAAAAATATGAAGAACGAAAGATATCACATTGCCATCTGCAGAACCAGACACCTCCAGTTTGCAACTAGAGGAGGCAGCAATTTTTACCCAAGGGTTAGGAGTACAACTGAATGGAGCTTCATGTCCAGTTGAGCTCTAGTTAGGAGATGTTTCCAAAGTTATATGTGGTTTAGATCATCCAACATATGGGACAGTTAAGATTAGACTTCTGGCCGATCTAATAAAGATATGCTGGACATAGTCCAGATTCGTTAGAACTCTGTGGATAACGATAAATTCTTCTCATGCCAAGTTACGATTTTTAAACATAGCCATGATTCTTGTGAAGGATGTTTACATCCGATGGCTTTTGGATAAATGCATTTCTTTATTGTGGTGGATACCAGGAACTTTAGGAGTTCCTCCTGAGCCTTTAACCCACATCAGAGATGTATTGTGACCATCATTATTTAAATCGTTAATAATTTTTTATTTCCTCAATGAATAATTGACTATCATCACAAATAAAAATAATCACATCACAGTTGTCTACTCTTTTCTTAAATAAATTTAAAAACATGTGGTAATAATTTGTCTTTTATTTACTTGTTGTTTGTACACTTTTAAAAAATTTAAAAGATGGATATTGCCAATTCGATATTGAGTATTACATGTTTGTTTTTGCATCTAAGTTCGTCTAACGCTCTCGAGAGCAGCGTTTTTGGGAAAGTCGTAAGAGACAAGATAGTCGGTGGGAGAGTTCCTATTTTCGGAGAATATCCATTCATTGTCAGTATAAGAGAAAAAGAAAACGGTCGGAGGATATGTGGAGGAAGTATTGTAGCACCGATATTCGTTATGACTGCGTGTCACTGCGTCTGCTTCGAGAAAGAAGGCGAAACGGTGGCCAAATCGCCTGAAACCTTGGTGATCATAGCGGGCCTTCAGGTCTTTCCGGATGTGGGGACCGCCGCGGAGGATTCCATCTTCAGCCAGTGGCGAAACGTGTCCGATATCTTCGTCCACCCGGGCTGCAAAAGGAGCCAGGACGTTTTCGGTTGGGACGGCGACTTCGCCGTGTTGACCGTCTCGACTAAATTAATCTTCGGAGAGCACATCAAACCTTTCAAGATCTTCGGCCTAAACAAAGCCGCCCTGAGGGAGGGAATGGACGATGTCATGGACAAAGGCGAAGAGTGCACGCTGATCGGCTGGGGTTCTTCGTCCATCGCTTCTAACAAATACAACGCCGATGTGCTCAAAGCCGTCCAGGTGACAATTATAGACTACTTAAAGTGCCAAAAGGAGTTGTGCTCTTTTCAGAGAATGTTTTGCAATTTTACACATTAGACGGATTTGCCTTCAGCCTGTCTTGAACGCGTCCGTCTGCACTGGGGATGGAGGCGGACCCCTCGTCTGCAGGGGCTTCGTCTGGGGGATCCTCAATTGGTCGCCCTCATGTGGAAAACCTCAGACACCGATCATATTCTCCAAAATCGAGGATCACTTGGAATATTACCTTAAATTTATTTTCGCCGTCTCATCCTCCCCTAGCTCCACACGTTTGAGTCTAGCGTCCTTTGTTTTCTTAACAGTTTCCTTCAATATCGCATCTGTTTTATTAAAGAATGAGCAATGAAATGGTATACTTTCTTTCTACAGAAGGTAGCTTAAGTTAAAATTTTACTAATGCTCAAGCAAATATATAACTATAACTCTCGTGAAACATCCCTGCATATGAAGATTTTATGCGTACAATTCCGTGAACATACGTTCGTTTGATAAATAAAAAACATGAATTTAAAGGAGTGATTGTCCAGGATTTTCACTCTGTATGTTTTATTTTTTGAGGGAACAAAAATGTAAAATATGCGAAAATGGCCCAAACTGTGACGAAAGGGCCTTACTGTCGTTCCCTGCTTATGTCCTTGACGTCACGCCTTCTATCGTCTTTACCAGTCAATGACAAAACTTTTTCAAAATAATTTTCCATCCCCGAAACCAACAATCAAACAAATGTTTGTCATCATCAAATACACGCTGAAAAATAAACTGGATGAAAGAAGAAGAAAATAATGATTTATATGAAAAAATGGCTCAACCAGAGGTTTTTGAAAAATAGTAGTTTTTATGAAATGAAGGTGTTTTTCCGCATAAACATGTTCCTTGCGTCATTATAGCAGTTTGACACAGGCGAAATGAGCATTAGATCGAATGGGCCTTACAGCCTCTCCCTACTTATACCCTTGAGGTCGCACCTACTATGGCTTTTTCTACTGAATAACAATTTTTTTAAAAATAGTTTTTTTTATCCCCGTAGCCGATAACCGAACGAATGTTTTCGTCTTCAAAAATAGGCTGAAAATTATACTGGGTCAAAATAATGATATGAAAAAATGGCTGACCAGAGATTTAAAAAAAAAAAGTTTTTATGAAATGAAGGTTTTTTCCGCATAAAACATGTTCCATGCGTCATTATAGCAGTTTGACACAGGCGAAATGAGCATTAGATCGAATGGGCCTTACAGCCTCTCCCTACTTATACCCTTGAGGTAGCACCTACTATGGCTTTTCCTACTGAATAACAATTTTTTTTTAAATAGTTTTTTTTATCCCCGTAACCGATAACCGAACGAATGTTTTCGTCTTCAAAAATAGGCTGAAAATTATACTGGGTCAAAATAATGATATAGAAAAATGGCTGACCAGAGATTTAAAAAAAAAGTATTTATGAAATTAAGGTTTTTTCCGCATAAAACATGTTCCATGCGTCATTATAGCAGTTTGGCACAGGCGAAATGAGCATTAGATCAAAAGGGCCTTACTGCCTCTCCCTGCTTATACCCTTGACGTCGCACTACTATGGCCTTCCCTAGTGAATGACAATATTTTTTTATCCCCGTAACCGATAACCGAACGAATTCTTTCATCTTCAAATTTTGAAATAGGCTGAAAGTTAAACTGGGTCAAAGTAGACGAAAATAATGATTTATATCGAAAAGTGACTGCACCAGAGGGTTTTAAAAAATAGAAGTTTTTATGAAATTAAGGTTTTTTTTATAGGCGAATGAGCGCAAAATCGAACTGCCTCTCATTAGCTATTTTTAATTTTGCTCAGATTGACTACAAACTAATATTTTTCACTTGTTTTTTATATTATTGTTTTAGTTCTAGGTTTAATATTTAAACTTTTATCTTACCGATTTCCTACATTTAATTAATAATTACCTGCCCAACAGAAATAATTGTAAATCAACATAAAGGCACATAAGTTTTGGGGTTTTCCAAGGGTCGATGTTAAGGCCGATCTTGTTTAATATCTCTATAAATGCGATAGAATCGATGCCGTCAGTAATGAGTTATTATTTAGTTATTAACGCCATATTTTTATTAGTTTTCTAGTGGCCTATCAGACCTAATAACAGTAAAACTGAGGCAATTTTATGAAATGAATGAATAGAAAAATCTCCTCTCTTCCAACTTTGCGTTAAAATTTATTAAAATTTGTTTCTTCTTCCTTCATATTTTCAAAGCTAGTCGGCCTGTAATCAATATGATCAATGTCAGGGCATTTTCAAATCCCACTTGGATGAATGTGAAAAAAATGACCCACGTGGAACGAAGAACATTTTCTCTTCAAATAAATGATTGAATAAATGTAGGTTAGCAAAAGAAATACGAGACAGGTCTAAATCGATGATTAAGGCTGTTATTCGAATGGTTCTGCATTCTCTCCCATTGTTGTAAGGCTTTGTATCAACGGTTTCGAGTGACTCACCTGTTTTTGCAATAATGCAAGATAAGCTGACTTGGCTTTTCATTGAAAGTTGAACAAAATCAAAATATAAGTGCTTTATCTTGGGGCCACGGCTGATAACAAAAATGACAAACAAAACCTTCAAGATGCCATATAAAAGATAAATAAAAATAAAATAAATAAAAAGTTTCTTTCAAGCTTTCAAGAGCCGTTATTCTATTTTGCATTCACCTACTCAATTTGAATTTTTCGTAATGATGTATGTCTGTAGGTAGTAAAAACATTTTTTCCTAACATTAACTATTTGATATTTACAACCGATAGACGAAAATCCACTGGTACCGAATATCCTTCAATTGACTGCCATTACCAGTAAATTAGGGGGGGTGTTGAAAAAATACAAAGAACCCATTTGATATACGGGTAGATTCAAAATAAATAAAAGGCGAGTTTTTTTATATTGTGATAAGTCACTCCTGATCTCATGTCTCAGTTTGCCAAGCAAAATCAAAAGTGTTTGTATACTAAGAAAAATCAACTTTCGAGCACTTCGGGCTTTTGATTTTAAACAAAATTCACGAAAAAAGTACAAAGAAGTAGATGATTACTTAAAAAGTGGATTAAACGCGGACCAACTTGCCAAACGAGGGGCTGAGCGTACTAAATCGAGTCCGAAGAGTTCACAGGCACAGAAGATCCGTCGTATTGACCCAAGGTTCTGCATAATCAAAGGTTCTTCTTGTTTTATCTTAACTTTCATTAAGTAGAAATTTTAAATAATCATAAGGAAACATGGAGAATCTACAGAGAAGAACTATCTTCTGAATCTCTGACTACGACGAGCAGAAATATCATATCTGTATCTTATGTATATATGTATGAAATATGTAAATATCTTAACCAATACTTTGCGAATTAACCAAGAAAAACAGGTCATCTGTAAGAACGAAATGTATGCTAGGGCGTCCGACAAACCCATACTAGATCTAGCCTTTATTAAATATATAATGAAATAACAAACATTGAATACCTAATAAAATTGTAAAATACGACATCGGCAGAATAAAGAAATAAAATGAGTTAAAATACCAAATTTAGTTTTGCTAATTCAAATGATTCATAAGAGTGCCAAGTGGCCTATGATTTAATTTAATTTTATACGGAAATCGCATGTTTAGCTACTTTGGAATAGTATCCAATCACATGCTTATCTCCAAACACAAGTGTTTGTATGGAGAGAGANTAAGAAACGGAGAGGGAAAGAGAGAAAGAGAGAGAGAGAGAGAGAGAGAGAAAGTGAGAGAGTGTGAGAAAGAATGTGAGAGGGGGAGAGAACGATGGATGAACATTAATACCATATTAATCTATGTAATAAAAAACAAATAATTTCAAGATTTGTGACAATAATAATCGCTTAAAAAATGTTCGGAATTATGTTAATTTAAAAAGATAAGATATTAATTGGTCCAAGTTAATTTATCTCCAACAGGACGTTATGAAATTGGTTTCAAATTGTTTTTGTTTTTTCTGTGTAATTATTGTTGTTAAATTATAGTACTATCACTTCTATCTTGTTCAGTACTATCGGTGCATTATTATAATGAGTTCAACAATATGTTATTTTTATTTTTGTTATTAACTAAGATAAACTGTGTGCTGATTTTGCATAAACTGTTCTAATCCGTTGAATGTTTATTGAATAGTAAAAAGTTTTTTTTTGTTCCCCCCCAACTAATTTCGATATTTGTGTGGACAAGTTATTGATTACATTTAATTGGGTCAATTATTGCATGGTCATAAAATGGTTAGCATTTTTGTTCGCCATGCTGCATTCTCGCTGCGTCGTCTGTTATTTAATAGATTTGGATCAACTTGTGTAATCGTAATACGTGTTTTTTTAATCCTAATTGATAAATTAACGGTTTTCTATAGTAAATACTGAATATGGATCAATTTGTACTAATTATAGAACTATAATGGATTGACTCAAAAATAAGTTTCCAATTTGTCCAGATCTAACATTTATTTTTTATTTAATAATGCCAATTGAAGAACAATAATAATTAACTAAACAAATTAATGAAATTTTTATTTAAGTAAATAAATCTATACATTAAGTTATGGTGGCGTTGCCCGGCGGCTCATCACTAGAAAGGGTTCGAATCTCAGCGTCCCTGAATTTTGTCTCTGAAGGGCTGTGTTTAAACTAATAGGATTGACTTTTTAAAAAATAAAAGATAGAGATCGGGTTATGCAAAGTGTTGGATATATAATTATAGTTATATAAATCAATTGATATATAATTTAGACAGTTTTAAAGTCAAACTATAACTAAAAACAAAAATATCGAAATAAACTGGTTGAAAGTTCATTAAAATAAAATAAACACAAAGGAAATTAGCAAAAAGTGAAAGAAGGGGAAAAGAGATTGACCAAAAAACGTCGTAGACACAAACAGAAGAATAAATAGACACGATAAAATTAACAAAGCCTGATGAGGAGAAAATGTATTAGAAAATAAAAACAAAACTCTCAAAATAATTGGTGGAAATTTCTTTATAAAAATAAATAAATAAATTTTAGAAAACTATAAAGAAAATGAGAAAACATGCAAAGAAGTTGAAAAGAGGAAGAACAGAAAACGTCGTAGATACAAGCAGAAGAAGCCAACAAGATAAAATTAACCAAGCCTGACGGGGAGAAAATTCATTTGCAAATGAAAACTTGAAATTATCAAAATAAAGTGGTTGAAAGTTCTTTAAAACAAAAATATGGATGAAATTAGAAAACAACAAAAGAAGAAAAGAGAAAGAACAAAAACATCGTAGATAAGGACAGAAGAAACCCACACGATAAAACTAACAAATAATATCTGATGGGAAGAAAATGCACTAACAAATAAAAACAAAAGTACCAAAATGAACTTTTTTTTTTCAATTTATTTAAAAAACAAAAAGCAAACAAAAGAAATTAGAAAAGAATCAAAAAAAGAGGAAAAGGGAAAGAACAGAAGAAACCTACAAAATAAAATTAACAAAGCCTGATGAGGGGACAATGCTAAAATAAAAACAAAACTATCAAAACAAACTGGTGGAAAGTTCTTTTAAAAAGCATGAAAAAACTACAAACAACCAAAGAAGAGGGAAAGATAAAGATTAAAAAACATCATAGATAAGGACAAAATAAACCAACATGATAAAATTAACAAAACCTGAATAGTGTAAAATGCATTAGCAAATAAAACAAAATAATCAAAATAAACTGGTTGAAAATTCATTTAAAATACAAAAAAGTAAATTACAAAATAACCAAAGGAGAGAAAAGAAAAAGAACAGAAAACATGGAAGATAAGAATAGAAAAAATCAACAAGATAAAATTAACAAAGCCTGATGAAGGGAAAAATAATGTATTTGCAAATAAAACAAAATTAACAAATTCTAGTAGAAGATTTATTTAAAAAACAAAACACAAACAAGGTAAATTACAAAACAATCAAAGAAAAACGTAACAAAAACATTAACGTAAACAACCAAATAATAGGAAAAGAAAAACACTAAAGAATATCGTAGATAAGAACAGAAGAAATCAGCTAGATAAAATTAACAAAACTATGAGAGGAAAGTGCATTATTAGCAAATAAAAACAAAAATATCAAAATACATTGATTGAAAATTTATTGATAAAGCAAGAAAAAATAGGAAATTAGAAAACAGTCATAGAAGAGGAAAAGAAGGCCTAAAAATCACCACAGTAGGTAAGGATAGAAAAAAAGAACAAGATAAAGTTAAGAAAGCCAGATGTGGAAAAAATGCGATATCAAAAACAAAATAAACCTGTTGAAAGTTCATTTAAACAACCAAACAAACATAAAGAAGCTGAATACAACTCAAGAAGCGGCGGAAAGAAAGAAAAAAGATGTACATCGTAAATAAGAACAGAAAATCAACAAGAAAAGATTAGCAAAGTCAAGGGAACCGGGAGAAAATTAGGACCGGATAATGCACATAAAAATCAAATGTAACAAATTTAAATTTTGACAATTTTTGAAGGATAATAATCAGACAAACACACAATGAAAAATATTCTCTGCTTATTTTCTTTGTATTACTGCTGACTTTTTTAAACATTGGATATCTGAGTCAAGTTATTCAACTAATGGAATCTCCGTTTATTTATTTATTTTTTTTTCATTAAAAAGGGGATTAAGTTTTGTGCAGTTTAGTTTACTCATAAACGGGTAAACCTTATTTTTAAATTTCTTAATTGTCCTGTTTATCTCGATCTATTATATCTTGATTTGGATAAAGTTAATCTTGTTTGTTAGAAAAGTAGAAAAAGGGGATTTCGATCCAGGTAAAAATTGGACTTGATGGGATTAACCAAAAAGTCGTTCGGTGACGTAGTGAAAGAGATAAGGACTCGGCTGGTATAAAGGGACGGACTGGTTCCCCGTCCGGCATTTCAAGCCCCCACTCAGTGAGACGTTCGTGTCTCTCCTTTCGCTTTCAGCAGTCAGTGAGCACTGAGCAGTGGTCAGTCAGTCTCGTTTTTCGTGTTTCCGACTTCGTCAAGCCGGCCGGACGCATCCGCTCTGACTTGGAAGCGTGGTGGAACAAAAACAAAACACAACAACCTGTGGCCTTTAGTGAAACATGTGATAAGTTTTAGTGTTAAAGAAAAAAAATCTTTCGATTGTTGACAGTAAAACATTTCCGTGTCTTGTGCATCCTTTGAGTTTTTGTTTTGACCGAGGATGGACTGCCAGATGGATCAGGTTTTCGCCCGTCGGCTCCTGCACCAGCAGTCGAAAATAAAGGAGGTGTACGTCGGGAAAAAGGGGTTTCAGTTGGAAAATTCGGAAAACGAACTCGGAGCCCAGGTCCAGTTCCAGTTGCCCAAGCCGATTTTCCACTCGACGCCGGCCAGAGGCGGATTCTCGAAAACACTCTTGGAAAACAACGCAAGGACGAAGAGGTCGAGAACAGCAGACAGGTAAATAAATTAAATTAAATATTTATTTTTTTATTTTACGAGGACGTTCAACAGGTCTCGGGTTGTCTTTCGCACGCTTTGCGGGGTTTTTTCAACCCCCGCATCGCCTTTGTTTACGCTCCCTGTCTTGTTTTTCTTATCCGTTTCGATTTTCGGCCGTTGCGATTTCCTTTTTAAATTTCCACTTGTCCCCGTTCTTCGCCCCTTCTCTCGCCTTTAAAACGACGAATTCGATTAAATAAATTTGCCCCGTTTGAATTATTCATTGGCCCAACCGTTTTTTCTTACTCTTTTCCATTCTTAATTCAAAGAAACTATTGTCTAGTAGATTAAACACATAAAAAATATATTTTTAACTTATCTACGTAGATTCCTAAATACACTGAAAAGTTCTTTCATATTGACAATAAATTTTGAATAAAATCGCGTTACAATTAATTTATTGTAATTATTCATTGGAAAACTATTGCTGTAAGTGTTTGTAAGGTGTTCCATATTTTTTTGTTTTATTTTTAAATTGAAATTTATACGCTGTTGACTTTCTTCTATAGATTACTATAAATAGAATTGAATTGAATCTTTTGAATAAATTAATTGGTGCCACATAGTTTTGACAAACAGAGAAGTCATTTTCTATTAACAATATATTTTTGAATAAAATGGCTTTGTAATAACAATTTACTATAATTATTCATTGGAAAACTATGGCTGTAATTGTTTGTAAAGTGTTCCATTTTGTTTTATTTTTAAATTGTAATTTATACACTGTTGACTTTCTACTATGGATTTCTATAAATAGAATTGAATTGAATCTTTTGAATAAATTAATTGGTGCCACATAGTTTTGACACATAGAGAAGCCATTTTCTATTAACAATACATTTTTGAATAAAATGGCTTTTTAATAATAATTTATTATAATTATTCGTTGGAAAACTATGGCTGTAAGTGTTTGTGAGGTGTTCCATATTTTTTGTTTTATTTTTAAATTGAAATTTATATGCTGTTGACTTTCTTCTATAGATTTCTATAAATAGAATTGAATCGAATCTTTTAAATTCATTGTTGCCACATAGTTTTGACACACAGAGAAGTTATTTTCTATTAACAATACTTTTTTAAAATACACTTATTTTTAATAATAATTTATTATAATTTGTTGAAATCATGAGATGCGATCAAGAATGAGGTAATTTAGAAAAACACCTTTTTGCCGTCGTTTCGACCTTTATTCGGGCCATCTTCAGGCCAAATTTTAGATTAAAAAAAATGAATTTATACAATGCTAGAAAATTTTATAAAAATAAAAAATGAATTTGTACAATGCTAGAAGATTTATATTAAAAGAAAAATGAATTTATAAATGCAAGAAAATTTTAGATTAAATTAATCTAAAAATTTTTTGCATTGTATAAATTCATTTTTTTTAATCTAAAAATTTCTAGCATTGTATAAATTCATTTTTTTAAATAAAATTTTCTAGCATTGTATAAATTCATTGTTTTAATCTAAAATTTTCTAGCATTGTATCTACTCATTTTTTTTCTTTAAATCTAAAATTTTCTAGCATTATATAAATTAGTATTTTTTCCTCACCTCGTACATTTATTTGTAAAATTGAAACAATGTTTATAAATCCCAGGTCTTGAAGATGAAGATCGAAACGTTGGCACAATAAAGAAAGTGTTTTTCTAAAACCTATGTCACACCGGACCACATCTCACGATCTCCGAATAATCGTTGTACATAGAAATGTAGTACATACATGTTTCAAGATTAGACTACAGACAAGAAAATTAAGACTTCACCTAGAAAAGTTGATATTTTTGACTTGTATTTGCCTATAGCATTTTGCATTTAAATTTTTTTCAGTTGGTTTGTACCAAATTTTAACAAATTCTTTCTGACTTAAAGAATTTTGTTTTGTTTTAATGGTCCCAAATAGATGGATTACAAATATTTAACTATTTGATAGCAATCTTAATTTATTGCTTCTAGATTCTTGGTGTTGGTCCCTTGCCACAGGTCACTTATATGGGGAAGTCTCATGCCTGAATTTTTATTAATACTACTGTCTTAGAAAATATACTGTCATGACAAATTTTAATCAAAAATTATCCAAAAAGGCAGATAAAAGTTTAAACTTTTTTTTTTTGCCAATGTACTTTACAAATGGATTACATAACTTCTAGTGTAACTTTGACGTTGCTTGGACTTTTTTGTCGTTGATTATATCTGCGAATAGTTAATAAAATGATAAAATAAAAAGGACATTTTTAGATAAATTTTTAATCGTGAACACAAGCTTTTACTGATTGTTTTTTTATCATTTTGCTTGAGAAATTGTATTCTAATTTTATTGCCTCCTCAAGCGATTGGAAGCTATGAATCATCACATTTTTAAATTAAATAATATTATGTTTTTTAGATATATACCAAAGAGGTTGTGTTCAAACTGGCAATCGAGATTCTCCCTTGAGAACGATTCGGACGAGGAGAAGGATGAAAATTCCAATAAAGAAAAGACAACAGTAAACATGTCTACTCTGGAGAGTGGGCGAGTATACTCGAGTCTTCTTAAAAATGAAATCCTCGACTCGAGCATCGGAAGTTTGAATAACACATCAGGAGAATCGAAACTCTTCCATTACTCGCCAAATAATAGATCAAAGGAAAATTGTTTATCTCACACACTGTCTCCAATTGGTGCCAGCAGTCAGCGGCTTTTGTCCTCTCCTAAATTTGAAAATGCCAAAATAGCAACTGTTCCTTTTAAGGTAATTAAAATTTGAATACTCTGAAAAGTTAGTTGAATTTAATAATTGTTACTGAAATTTTTTAAAATTGAGTTTTGTTAATATTCTTTCTCTATTTTACAGGTTTTGGATGCACCCAATTTACAAGATGATTTCTATCTAAATCTAATTGACTGGTCCTCACAAAATATTTTATCAGTCGGTCTCGGCAATAGCGTTTATTTTTGGTCAGCAGTATCAAGCCAAATAACAGGTCTCTGTGAGCTCTCTGAACATGGCAATTCAGTTACGTCTGTCTCTTGGAATCCATTTGGCACTCATCTGGCAATTGGTACAAATCACGGTTCGGTGCTTATATGGGACGTTGTAAGTGGTAAACAAATCGACAGGCTGACAGGACATTGTGGAAGGGTCGGAACTCTCTCTTGGAACACAGGGAATTTCCTCACGTCTGGCGGCAGGGACAGAAGCATAATTCAGAGGGATTTGAGGGCGAGGCCGAGTTCTAGGAATGAAAGACGCCTTTGTGGACACAGGCAAGAGGTTTGCGGTTTGAAATGGTCTACTGACGGTCAGCTCCTGGCCTCAGGAGGAAATGACAACAAACTTCTCGTCTGGGGCCTTCACTCGAATGAACCACTATTTACCTTCTATGAACATACAAGTGCAGTCAAGGCGATTTCTTGGTCACCGCATAACCACGGCCTTCTGGCGACTGGCGGTGGCTCTGCAGACAGGACGATTCGTTTTTGGAACATGATTACCGGGCAGAGCCTTCATTTCGTTGATACAGGGTCTCAAGTTTGCAACTTGGCCTGGTCGAAACATTCATCCCAACTAGTCAGCACTCACGGTTATTCTCAGAATCAAATCCTTCTATGGAATTACCCTTCTATGACCCAAGTGGTAAAATTAACTGGCCATTCTCTCAGGGTACTTTACCTCGCCCTCTCCCCCGACGGAGAAACAATTGTTACCGGTGCTGGAGATGAAACACTTCGGTTTTGGAATATATTTTCAAAAACGCCATCCCGCCAACGGCCTCCTTCCCAAGTCATGCTTTACACAAATATCCGTTAATATATAAGATATACAATCAATTTGTTATACAAATAAAGTATATATTTTTTACCAAATTTATATTTTAATAGTTAAATGTAAGCAGTGTACTGTTAAGTTTAATATTTAGGGTACCATGTTTTTAAAAACAATTTTATAGATTAGCCTTTTTTAATTCAAATACAAAATAATCTGCATATTTTTGGGGAGGGGGAAGGTTATTAAATGTGTTTGAGAAAAAAAATTAAATTCTAAATTTTCTTTCAATTCTGAACGAAATAAATTGTTGTAAGTATTCGGAATCAAATTTGTTCAAAGGAGTAAACATCGTGCCATTTAATGAAATTAAAATTCAGCTTTTGTCAAATTGTAAGCTTAATTTAATTGAAAATGTTTTCTTTTAATGAAAAAAAAAAAAAAAAAAAACGCAATATGTAAATAAATACAAACATAAAATGAAAAAAATTAAATCTAGAATTATTTTATAATAAGGAAAACAATTTCTGATTACATGTATTCATAGATTTTTTTTTTGTATCAATGCTCCTCATCAAGGCCAAATTATTTGTTGTTAAACAGCCAAGAAAGGAGATTGTAAGCCTTGTGGCAAAAAGAAAAGAATTGTTTTAATACCAAATATAAATTTATTATAGTTTTATTTTTTTTTTGTACCCTTTTGAATTCTATTTCAAAATTATAAATTGTTCATAAACCTTTGTAAAAAATTAAATCAATCATTTGTGCAATAAAACTTTGTCGCAAACTGCCTGGTGATGCTAGTAGAATTGATTGAATGCTTTGTAAGCAATCTGATCTACCTCGTCAGCATATCTCCATATAATTTGGTCAGACAATGGTGCGTCAGCAATTTACCATCTTTGGTGGCTGTCTTTGTTCATAAGCATAAGATATGTTGTTTTATTAAAAGAAAGATCTATTCTCTCAGTAATTATATATAATTTGACAACAATCATTAAAAAGGGCTTAATTTTAAACCTTTTTGAATGGGAGTTAGAGTGTGTTTTAACCTGAAAAAATTATGGACTTTTAAAATGCAATTAACAATTCTTTCTAACAATTTTTTGACAATGTTGCCATTAAAAGAAGAAACCAGTGATACATTAAATTGCCAATGCAAATTTTGTTTTGATTGGCTCAAACTTGAAATATTCATTTATAACAAAGTAGTTTACTGTTTGATTAATAATTTTTTAAAACGTTCCTGTCATCCGGGAGGGATTGATGTGAACTAACTGTTGGGTTGTCATGGATGAGGGTTCTTAATCATTTTACAAAACTTTCTTGTTATATTACTATTAAAATTCCATGGGTTATGTCAGGATTCAAACCAAGACCACTAGTGTGGCAAAACGATGCTGTTAATACAAATGCAATGTAAAATTTATTTGCTTGAATCCTTGAACTTTTTTTGTTGTAAATTTACACACAATAAAACCAATCATCACTTTAGGTAGAAAATAAATATATAACTACAAAAGTGTGGTAGGTCTGCAATGTGATTAGCTTTTAGGAAAAGAGTGTTTAAAAAGTCAAGTTCATATCCTGCATCTAGCATAATAAAAGCTCAAGCTAAAATTTTAGTTTTAACAAAGTAAAGTTCAATTTGTCATCAAAATGCCAAATTCTGCATATGTGAAGTTGCTCGATGTGTCCCACCTTAATTGAAGGAGGGACATTCATCGGCTCCATGTAGAGAGCAAGGAGGAATGCTACCTGACATGAGAATTGTGCTTGGGCAGCGAGTCTTTGGGTCACCTCTTCCAATTGTTAGAGAAAACAGGGCTATTGTATTAATACTGACAATTTTGTGTCTGTAGTGTTGAGAGTGAATGTATTTATTAGTGTGAATGTTTAGTGTGAGAGGGTCTATGGTGGAATAATGGGTATCCCATAACCTTCAATTAGATTCGTTATATCATATGTATAGAGGATGATGTAGGCATATTGAGTACTCCATGACCCAAATTGAGTGAATGGTATGTAAATAGGAAAGAATAGAGCCCAATCTTGCCAGCTGGATGAATTGGAACGAGTTCTGACCCTGGACTGCCAAACCCTGGGTGGGCGATTCTTGAGGCATTGCGAATAGTACTTTAGATCTCGTCTTGTTTTCCTTTGTGTAAATTGAGTGTATGTACTAGCATGGTTGTGCAGTGTGAAAGGGCCAATGGGTTATTGAGTACCTATCAACCCTCAAATAGCTTAGTCATATAATTTCATCTATATGCTGATGGCACAGCTTTAAATTCACTGTCCTGCTAACAACATCTCTGAAGCTATCTCTCTGCTCAACCAAGATCTTCATTTTCTCAATCAATAGTCAAGTAACGACATCATTATTTTAAATCCTAACAAATCCCAATCTTTATTGATTTCCAAAATCACCAATTAATAAAGATTGCCTAGCCCCACCTTATATTAATGGCTTCTCTATTAATTGTTGTCCTAAAGTTATTATTTTACTATGGTTAGGGATGCTTAAAAAGGTTATTTATTTATTGTATAAATTATTACATTTCTTAACTGATTGGACATTACTGCTTAACGAATTAACTTTCAAGTTCCATCTTACCATTCCAGAAGTCAAATAACATTCTCCATCGATTACCATAGAACTAATTATGCCAAATTCAGTTTTATACCAAGAACAACAAATTTGTTAAACCATTCAAAAATAAATATAGATATATTTAATGTCAGTTTAAGCAAATTTTATTATTAGAAAATTAAATATTGTAACATTAATATAATTAATATTGAATTTGATTATAATTAGTAATTGGTAATTATATAGTGTTAATCTGGAATCATAAGTGCAATAACATAGGTCACTCGAAAATCTCACAACTATTGAGTAAGGTTAACGGTCAATTATTAAGTGTTAGTGATCAAAAGATTAAAACCCCTTCAGGGAAAAAGCACTTTCAGGTAGTCACCCCTTGTGATTATAATTATAGTCTGGATGATGACCATCGTAACATATACTGCTACACAGATGGATCACTTATCAAAGGTAGAGGGAGTGGTGCAGGAATCTACATACAAAAATTAGGACTCAGCATCTCCTCCCCTCTTGGCAATAACACCCCCGTTTTTCAGGCGGAAATCTGGGCCATCAATGTGTGTTGTAGAACACTTATGGAAAATAAAATTAAGGGAAAAGATATTAAAAATTTTCTGACAGTCAGGCTAGTCTTAGGTCATTACAAAAAGATTTGTCAACCTCATGTCTGGTGGAGGAAACTATAGATCTTATAAATAGGATCTCTTTCAGGTTACTGGGGCATGAAACAATTTCTTAGGGAGTGGAATTTATCCCCCGGACACAGGCAATCGAAAGAGTTTGTTAAGGCGATCAAACCAGCAGAATCGAAATGGCTATACTATATCTCAAGGAAGGGAATTAGGAGGCTGATAGGTATTCTGACGGCCCACTGCCCACTGAGAAGACACCTCTTCGTAATAGGTATCCTACCAGATCCCTTTTGCTGTTTTTGCGAAATAAAAGAAGAAACGGCAAGGCACTATCTCACAGAGTGTGATAGGTATGCTAGGTCTAGATTTGAAATCTTTGAAGGAGAAGACATCATCAAATCACTTCCTGAGATAAAATGGTCCAAAATCTTGGGGTTTGTGAACAAGTCCAAGAAGTTTATGCAAGACACGTGAGCCGACCAAGTACCGGACCTTTTAGGGATGGGGTACGAGTCTACCCAGGCATTTAACCCCTCAGGTCTTGGTCGCCCACCCTGCATAATATATATAGTGTTAATACATTTTCAAATTGTTCATTCTAAATTGTTTGTTTTATTGTTGTGTTTCTTTATTGTTATAAATATTTTTAAATTTACATACAGTTATAACTTTAATATTTTATTGTATAAATTTGTAATTGGGCAACTGTAAATAAATAAACTATGTTTATAAAACTAAATTTATTTTTATGTTTTGTATATGTAATGGGCTTAAAGGCTGTTTGTACCTTTAAAATGAAATAAATTTTTAATCGGGTAATATTGCAATTGTAGCTTAATCGCTGGATTGTTCCCCCCAAAAAAATTCACGTCAAATTATATATGATTGAATATATTAGCCTAATATTTTGTAAATAATGAAATTTTCATCTTAAATTGTAAAAAAATAATATTTTTATTCAACTGAGAGGGATAAAAGTTCATGTTTATGCTGGTTTAATTTGAATATTTTCAATAGGGTTTGTATCAAATTAGTGGTGTTTTATTTTAATGGTTTTAAAATCAAATATTTTGGCCAATTTTTATTAATTTAATTTTAATAAAATTTAGTCTGTGGTGATAGATCAAGGTGTGCACAAACTCAATTAGAAGAAAGGAGGTTTCTTCAGTGGTTGAATTTTGGCTGTTCAACTGGTCTATCAATCTGTGATAAGCTGTAATTCAAATGTTGTCATCAAATTTGTCCCTCAGCAATTTTGGAGGTGAATATTCTAAAATGACGTTTATAAAGTACCAACATATATATTTAAAAAAACAAATTCGCAGCTTGTTTTGGTTTTATTTTAATTCAGGACAAATAATTAGGTATAGAGTGATGTGGCAGAAAAATTATTAATGCAGCTCCGTTTGTTGAAACAACCTTTAAGGATGTTTCAACTTTCTGTCCAATTCAGGGAGGCTGGCTAGATGGCTTTCGACGACAGGAAGCCTGGAGGCGAGCAAAAAGCCCGTCAGGACTGCGGTGATGATGCTCAATATGGGTGGGCCACAGACGGGCGAACAGGTCGGCGAGTACCTCCATCGCATTATGACAGACAGGGACATGATCCAGCTACCCGTGCAAAGGTAACATGGAGGTCTCTCTTCCGGAACAAATTTTACGGAGTGCACGATCTGATTAATTGGTATCAATCTGTGTCTTGTGATGATGTGTTGTATTTGCGTTTTTGATCATCTAGTTTTGGCCTGACTGGTTTGGTCAGATGTGTTATTTCACTCACACATCACTGAAGATGATAAAATGCTGAAATGCATCTGACTGACCAAATCAGACATATGACCAAACTTCATCAGATAATACACTAGACAAAAAACCATTCCAAATAATTATTGAAAAGAAAGCTAATTGGAAATATAAAGCAAAAGAAGTTAAATCAGGAGCTCTTTGGTATACGGACAGTTCAAAAATGAGAAATGATAAGGGCATGGCTACAATAGGGTCTAAGTTTGAGCACATGTACCTCGGCCCAACTATGACCTTTCAAGCCGAACCTGTCCACATGAAATAAACAAAAAACATCGCAAAAGTGCAACAATAATCATTCTTTCAGACTGTCAGGCAGCTCTAAAGGCTCTTTAAGTACCTAAAAATACTGGGATCCTTTTAGCCTAAGCCCAGTTATGAGGGAATCATATGTAATGAGAAAGCTATATATGATATATTCGCTAAAAAAAAGAGCCTCAAAATAACTCATAGGCCAAAATATATTGTTTGACATAAAATACAGCCACATACAGGAAAAAAAAAAAAAAACGTAGCTTTGGAATTAAGAATAAAAACAATAGAAAAAAAAGAATAGTGCAATAATTAGGAAAAAGCTGTGGTTCTTAGGAAAACTGTTCGTGAACCACATAAAATGGCGGCAGCCAAGTGGATAGCGTGCTAGATCTTTGGCTCATAGACACTGGGGTCGTGGGTTCAATTCCTACCACCCCTGGCCTTTTTCATGCTCCCCTTACCTTCAAAAATACATATATCAAACTCATCTCTGGCCAATGTACCATATAAATACACCATAGAAATGGGGAAAAAAATCCACACAAATCTTGATAATATACCCCTGAAAATAATTCTTTACTTAATAAAATAAACGAATAATTTTCAGGAAATCCATTAGCAGAGATTGGCACACTCGACAAAAGTGCTAAAGCTACAAATCCTTATGACTTCATTTGGGGGGAAAAGTCAAATAGGGAAGGCAGTGTCGAATGATGAAATGACCAAACTTCATAAGTCAATTATTAAATCAGACTGACATGCCATTGTTACGTTAGAACCCAACGGCAAACTCCTCGTTAGTGAAAACCTCCTTACAACACGACATTACAAACCATTCTATAGGTATAGCTGGCTGACCCTTGACTCTTTCTAAAATGTCGCAGAAAATCCTTGCTGTGTGATGCCTGGTATTATCATAGATTAAAAATAAAATCAACATAAAATAACACATAAAATAATGGAATATCTGCTAAATGAGTATCTCACATCCTGTTAATGAACCCTTTATGGGGACCTGGAGTGAAAATATCTCAATATAATATAATTCCCTTTTTCCCAGACACTCCAGTCTCAGAGAAAACTCTGATGAACACTCTGGATCAAGATATGTTCTTGAAGAAAAAGCAAATTCAGTTGTTACTCAAGCTTTCGACCTATTTTAAAGTAATCATCAGAGCAAAATAGTCTTAAGTATGTCTACAGATGGACATATTGATGTTTTTTTACAGGCGATCGCAAATTTCTTTGAAGATGAACTCAGTCCAAACTTTGACAAGGATTGTTACAGCTCTCACAGTCAGAATTTGCCTATATCTTCAAGACTATACCTAGATCCAAAATGTTCGTGAGTGAAAAAAAGCAGTCGATACTTGAACACGAAAAACAAGATTTTAACCCAATCTTTCTCAGCTTTATCTTTTAGACATGTGTATTATTCATGGTTATAGACGGAAAGATTGTAGCTATGCATTATAGAGACTAGGGTTCTAGAGTACCAGTGGGTACTTTTTTCAACATTATTAAAAAACCCTACTGGCTTGACATTATCCATCTTTCAGCAATGCAATGATTCCAGCTGAATCTATACTCTTTTAATCAAAGGTCAAATGCATAACTTGTAGCAAAGAAGCAATAAAACTTTTAAAAATCATACTAAAGCTTTTTTGACCTTGTTGTACACCAAAACAAACTGTGGAAAGGAGGATTATTTAAATATTAGCCTAAGACAATTGTTCAAACTGTCCTAGTTTGTTTATTCTCATTCCTTTTGTCTTCAATTCTTTAAAACTGAAAAATTATAGTGCAAATTTGTGCTAGGTACAAAATTTAAAAAAAAGTAAAGTGTAGTAGATGAGGGATCGAACTACTTTACAATAAAGTACAGAACCGCTAGTGTGGCCAATACAAGTTGGGCACCCTCTTTTGGGCATCTTGTAGACCACACAAAAAAATTACATAGTTTATTAATTAACCATATTTTAACTAAACATGTATTGAATTGAATGGTTGTGCAATATTTATTTTTTAAAAATTTTCAATTTATTTGATTAAATAGAAAACTAAGTTCTTACGGTAAACATAAAGGCCCAGATTGAGGAGTTTATGGTTTAAAATTTGTTTAATCCAGTGGCTGAGTGGCTGCCTGAAGATTTCCAAAATTACAATTACTATTTCTTCTTTCTTTGTTTTTATTTTCTTTTTGCATCCAGGGGCGGTGTTAAAATGTTAAACTTATAAAAAAAAAAAACACAGTTGCCAAGTTCAACCTTGAGTTTACTCAGGAGTATGAATTTAGCTACTAAAAATTAGGAACCTAAATTTTAGTATAGGCAAAAGTAAAAATTTCAAGGATCATCTTGGTGATTTTTTTTCATCATTGGTTTTGCTACTACAATTCTGCTTGTTTTAGATATTTATGATTTTATAGATCAGGTTTTGTTAGTTTTATTTCCAATTTTGTTTTTACTAGTACATTAGGCCCTTACATTGCAAAGAGAAGGACAGAGGAGGTGAGGAAAAAGTATGAAGAGATCGGAGGTGGTTCTCCTATTCTTAAATGGACAAAGAGGCAGGTAAGTGACTGTAGTCCATTTTGTATCATTTGACTTGGATCTTTGTTTTTCATTTAGGGCGAGCTGTTATGTCAAAAATTAGATGTTCTGTCTCCGTCGACCGCACCGCACAAATATTACATTGCATTCCGTTACGTCGACCCGATGACAGAGGAAGCTTTGGAACAAATCGAAAAGTAAATTTTATTCTTCCAAACGATTAATAATTTTTAATAAAATATTTGTCTTTTTACAAAGGGATTTGCCAGAAAGGGTTGTCATTTTTTCCCAGTACCCCCAATACAGCTGTGCAACCACCGGATCAAGCCTGAACGCCATTTATACCGCCCTCTCGAAGAAGTACGTTTTAAATTCCATTAAAATTTAAATCTGATTAAAAAAACAAAAACATTTTTATTACAGAGAATTGAATCCTAAGATAAAATGGAGTCTAATTGACCGCTGGTCAGCACATCCACTCTTAGCCAAAACTGTTGCCGATCGGATAACAACAGAATTGAAACAATTTCCTGTAGAGAAACAAAAAGATGTCATAATACTCTTCTCTGCCCATTCTCTTCCTCTTAAGGTACTATTGCTATTAATTTTCTGTTTGGATATTCTATTAATTATTTATTTAAATTCAATTATTACTGTCCTATTCCAAGTCCTTGTATGTAGGAACTTTACAATTTAAAATTAATATAAAATATAAATAAGAATTCGAACCATTAAAATAGTTTACAAAGCATAGTCATATGGCTTAATGCCAGGGTAATGCAAATTTTCCCTGTCAAAAGCAAATGACGTAGATCGTCTTATTTAACATAATTTATTTTCAAGGTATATAAACTGGGGCATTTTGTTATTTGCTCATTATTCAGATGTTCTAACAACATTAGGGGTATAAGGAGGGTGAGGTGAGATGCTGACTCCTCCCATTACAGGGGAATTTGGATGGTGTCAAACTCAAAGAATATTTAGCATTGTTTTACTGCAGCATTACTTTATTCCAGTTCCAATGGATTAAAATGGGATATTTTCATGTGTTCATGTCAGGGATATAAACAGGGTGAGGCATGATGCTGACTCCTACTATTGCTTTAAATTTTGCCTGTGCAAAACAAACAATATGTAACTCACTTTGTCTTATGCAGCAATGCTTTATTATCGGTCTCATAAAGCAAAATTTATATGTTACTTGACATCAAGGGGTATAAACAGTGAGGCAAGATTCAAGTTCAACCAAATGGAGTTTAATTTTTTTTGTCTAACCAATCTAGACAATATCTACATTTTCATAGATTATTTTATTTTATCACAAGTATAAGATAGTGGCTTATGATGGCATTTAAAACCCTTGGCTTATGCTCTAGAGTGTAGACTGCTTCAATAAACACTGATGAGCGAATATTCACAGCATTAAAACGCTGTGCTATTACAATAAATATCACTTTTCTTTCCAAATGGATTAAAAAATTTTTCCTTGGACATTCTCATAGGAATTTATAACAGAATGTTAATACAATTCAAGTTTTCTTAGAATAGGCTTTTTTTTATCATTAAAAATGTAACGTTAAGGTTTCAGTAAATAGTTTGAATAATAGAATTGACTGCAGGCTGTGAATCGCGGTGATTCTTATCCGAGTGAAGTTGGTGCAACTGTACAATTAGTTATGCAGGAGCTTGGAAACAGCCAGCCGTATTGTCTTGTTTGGCAGTCGAAAGTTGGCCCCCTTCCTTGGCTCCAACCTTACACCGATAATGCTATACGAGGTGATCCAATCATTTTTTAATGATTAACCGTTTTCACAATTTTTTTTCTTTCTTTTATAGATTACGTTAAACAGGGTAAAAAGAATTTTGTTTTAGTACCAATAGCCTTTGTAAACGAGCATATAGAGACGTTGCATGAAATGGACATCGAGTATTGCAAAGACCTCGGCGAAGAGGTAAATTATTGAATATTAAGCTTAGAAAATTTCTTGTCATTTTTTTCTTTTTTAAAGCTTGGCATTGAGTGCATACGAAGGGCTGCAGCACCCAACGACCATCCACTTTTCATTTCAGCTTTGGCCGATGTTGTGACATCCCACCTAAACTCTGACCAGCGGATCAACCCGAAATTTTTGACAAGGTGCCCACACTGCCGGAACAAGAACTGCGAGGAGTCGAAACAGTGGTACAAGAAACTCTGTCAATGACCCTTGCCTAAAATCAAACATTTAAACTACAAAGTGGATTAGGATTCTTATTTTTCATTTCTAATTAAACGTCAAAGTTAAACTTTGACCTCTACACCTGAACGAGTTATGCCTTGAAAAAAACTGCATTACTTTGTTTTTCCAACAATAAAATTAAATAATGTTGAATTTTAATATTTAGTGTTGACAAAAAATGTATTTGTTAAACTTTTTGTTAAAAGTAAAAACAAAGCACCACTTACGTCTAAGGCTGAGTGTGTATCTAATACCTACTTTAAGGAAAAGTTAAATAAAAGAGGTGTTTTGTATTCTCTGTTATTTAATAATCACCTTTCTCCAAACTACTTGGTATTTTTGAAATTGTTCAATAAGAGTGGGAGGATTTAGAATTTTGAAAATTTCTGTGGGTAGGTGATCCTGTAGTTTTGATAGTAACGATTATCCTGTATGGTGTTTTAACATACCATATATTTTGATGGCATAATACCAAAATATATCTGACATACCAAAAGCGAGGATAAGTAGAAAGGATGATTGGTGTCTTGGAGACAACTAAACTAAGATTTAGAATATTCCTATTTTTTCTTTTTGTGTAATTGTTAATAAAAAAACCTATTATTTTACTTTTTAGGCCTTTTTTTAAAGGTATAATTTAGATGAAAATTTTTATTTGTTCTACGTTTCTACAACTTGTGCCATTTTCAAGAAATTTATTCCTTAAAACATTTTAAATTCTTAATATTGTTTTAACAAAATAAACTTAGTTTAAAACATGATTTGCCAAAAATGAATTTTTTTTTTTTAAATTTGTCTTTTTGTGAAAACAATTGCCACAAATTTTAAATGCTTTAAGTAATAAATTTTGTGTGGTGGTTAGTGACCGTTAATCAATAATTTAATTATTCAGAAATCGTTAGATGCGGTCTGGAACCAGATTTCTGAATAAGTAATAAATTTTCTTGAAAATGGCACAAGTTGGTCCACACAAAATAAATCAGCTAAAAACATATTTTAAATTTTTGTTGGGAGGCGTTGGAGGCAACCTGACATACAAATGTTTTTTTTCCAAAAACACTGACACCCTGAGGGTTCACACAACGAATTGTCATGATTTTTTGTCGAGTGAAGTTGGTGCAACTGTACAATTAGTTATGCTGTAGCCTAGGTGACATGGTTCCATACAAAACAAAATAATTAACCCACAAGCATGTGCAGAACCAGGATTCGTGGAATTTGGAATGCCTACTTAAAAAAATTTGTTGTTTAGTGTGAAAGTTTGGAACATGTGACTATATGTCAAAATTATTTTTGGCGATATAGACAAATATTTTAATGTGGTCTTTTAATAACGAATTTATTCTACAATCTAGCAAAAATACAGATAGATACTTCGGTAGAATAAACAACACAGTGCAGTTCGACCTCAGATACTCCAAAGGGTGCGGAGAGACTGAGAGAGAATGTGCACACCCATCCTTGGAGATCAGCAGTTCAATATGTCGTAAGTGGAATCCTTTTTTAGGAACTGAGATTAGCCAGCTGGCTCAAGTTGGCATTACATGACAATAACAGGGAGAAACAAAAAGATAAAGCAGTTATTGTTTTACAAGATAAAAAATCCTAATTTAATAGCTGTTAAAGTGTATTGTGACTAAAACCGACAAACGTGGTAAAATTTTGTGTAATTTAAAATTTCTCCAACACTGGTCTGCACGCTTGAACTCAATGTATAGAATAATGGAATCAAAAGATATTTAAACCACTTTGACTTTCATCTGGTAGGAGAAAATGTACATAATTAGTGTTTTTCTTTAATTTAAGAGAACTACTGTCTACTATGAAGGAACATAAAAGTAAATAAAATGTAATAAAATATATCGTACAGTTTTGTAGCGAGGGAATTGATTAAATTTTTTTTCTTTTGTTTGGCATAAGAGGTGGCAAATTGTTTTTTAGACGCACATCACTACCTCTCATTTTATCAGCGACTTCCTTTTACAAAGCTTTTGCAAAATTGTAGGTTAAGTAAATATAGTACTCTATCCTTCTACATAAAATTGTAAAAAAAAGAAGATAAAATCAAGGCAACTATTGTAGTGCTATGTATTTTCTCTTTTTTTCCTCCTAGGGAAAGCTATAAAGGGTTCTTTCTCATAATCAGTATTTTTATAAATATTTTATTAGAAAAATACTATATTTATATATATATTGTTTTGTTAAAAAAAAACATATTTTCTCTTAATTTACATATAACCACTTCACAATAAAGAAAAAAATAAATGATTCAATTATTCTTCAAGCCTATTGTTTAAAATATTAAATTAAAATACAAAATTAAATGTCAATAAGAATGATAAATAGTGCAAATAATGACTAAATTTTTTTTAAAATATTCGCAAAAATATAATAAAGCATACATTTTTTTTTAAATAACGCTTGATGACAATACATAAGCTAATAATTAATCCAAAACATCACAGTTGTTATATCTTAAAAATTGTAATAACAGGCATATTAGATAAACAATACTAAACAAAATTAATGTTGTTAACCTTATATTTTTCTTAATTTATCAGTCCTCAGTTAAACTATAACACTTGGCTAACTGATTTTGTCCTTTGTTCAAAATGGATCGAATAAAAATTTATCGGCACTGATCAAAATCATGGGAGCGTGTGAGAAAAAAGGGAGACAATTCAATTTGTTTTCAAATTCAGTCAAATGTGGGAATTCAAAGTTGACATAATTATATAATTAATATGTTGAATTAAGCTGGCTTTGCTGCATCCAAATAATATTTTTTTTATGAATACTTAAAAACAAAATGAGTTTTTTTTTAATGGTCAAAATTTATATACTATAAAAGGAATTTTCAAAGATTTTCTTATGGAAGATTTTGTACTTCAAAAATTAAAAAAAAGAAAAAAATTACCACCAAAATTGAACAAAACTGTTTTGGCTCCTTTAAAAACTCTGCATCAAAAATTGCGATCCTTTAAATATATCAATCAGGATAGAAACTAGCTAATCAAGAGCTTTGTTTGTTTTTTCTTTTACCGTGGTTTCCATAGCATAAAAATTAACATTCATTGGAAAATTAAAATGCCTTTATTTTACAAATTTATAATAAAAAATATCAATTTTACTACCTCATTTTTATAAGAAACAAAGCACAACAATAAACATAACAAAAATAATTCAAACAAATATTGTGTTGTATAATGAGAAGAGTGTTCGAAAAATATACTATTAACAATGGCCTGTCTCATTGTCATTTCATTGTTAACATGTTTTTTTGTTTAGTTTTAATATATACATCCCAGCTTTCTAAAACTTCTAATCGATTATCTTACCATTCTAAAATATAAAGCACAACCATATCATGTCTTAAGACCGCAAAATAAAGAGAGGGAGGAGCATCTGTAAAAAGAGGGGGTGACGAGTAGAAAATGAAAAATATAAAAAAAAGAGACTTTTCTACCGAGTCTAAAATCAACACCAGGAAAAAAATGGGCTTTTCCTTTGAACATCTTCTGTGAAGGCATCGGAGAAGGATTTAAAAGTGGATGTAGTCCCGACCAAACCAGACGTCCTGTAAAAAAATAAATAAAATAAAATAAAATAATAAAATAATAATAACAATAATGCATCGTTAAAATAAAACAAATTTGTTGATTTAATAGAAAAATTTAACCTTCTGAGGACAATCGCTGGTTTTTGAACAAGCTGCAATGGGCTGCTATTGTCAATTAGCGCCTGCTTAAGATTGAGAATTTGACCATGCATTACACTCATTTGTTGATCAAATGCCTTACCATCAAACCCTTTATCTTGCTGTATCCAAACAAAAAACAAACGTTAACTAAAGTTATACACCATTTAAATGAAAGAGAAAATCCAACCTTGAATAGATTACGTAAATCATCAATAAGCTCTTCGACAAAATTAATATCTCGAATGCGAGGTAGAATGAGGTCTTTCGTCTCCTGGCTAAAAGGGACTTTTGCCTGTGGAATCCAAGCCCAGTGATATGGATAAGCCCTCCAAGAATCTGGATGCTTAAAAGGAAATGCAAGACCGTTGTCGATAGCGGCTACTGAAATATTTGGCTTTGCGGTATCCCAATCCTGTAAAAAAAAATTCTTGTGGTAAAACTTCTTATAACACTCCCCCTTATAACGATTTCCCGGCTATAACGCTCTTTTCCCTTCGGGGGTCAGGGTCCCAAAACGATTTTTCAACGACAATTTTTTCGTTTTGACGATCTGATCTCTGGTTTGAGATAAAATTTACAACACTTGAGATTAAAAATTTTTTTTGTTGTTAAATACTTACACACAAAAAAGGCCGAAAATAAGGAAAATAATTGGAAGAAAAAGAAGAAAAAAAAATCAGTTATGTGGATGACACACTACACAAGAGGGACACAACCTCTCGGCTACAGAAGAATGGTACAAAAATACGTATTAATAAAGGACGATTATCTACAACTTTGCCAAAAATTTCTATTTTAGACACTGCTTGGATGGGCGTTAAGAAAGAAACAATTCTGAATTGTTTTAAAAAAGCAGGAGTTGGGAATTCAGAACACCAAGAAATCGAAAAGTTGATTGTTTTCTTATTTATAATTTTAACTTTTTGGCTTTTTTTTTTTTTTGGTTTGGACATAGATGAATGATGAAACTTGGTAAGACCTTATAACAACAGACAATGAGTTGTGAGTTGAAAGGTTTTGAATGTTTTTGACAATAATCTTGTGAACGGCAAAACTTCAAGCTTGGAAACCATAATTGAAGATCGTCTCAGTGCATCGAAAGATGATGAAGAAGTGATGATACACCTGTAACAATTGTGCCAAAAACAACCGATGTTTTGAATGCGATCAAAACATTTTGCACATTTTTCCCCCAGTAACACTGGTGTAAAAATAGGAATCAACGAAAGAAACAGATTGGAATATTACACCTTCAAAAACTGTATTGGTTGAAAAAAATATGATTACATATTTTAGTCCAGGCATGACTATAATATGTACTTGAATAAGTACATTTTGTGTTTTAGTTTAGTTTATGTATACATATTTACATCCTGCATACCCTTTTTTATACATTCTATGTTCCAAAATAATTTTTGTTCATTTTAAGCTGTTTTCTGTTGGACTTGAGAAGAGCATTATAACAAAGCGTTATACTGTAGTTCAAATATGAACAAATGTGCTATAAACACTTACAGTGGGATCTTTCATTTCTTCATCGCCTCCTCCTAGCCTTGGTTGATTTTTCACAACAGGTGGGTCGTATTTAATCAGCCAATTGTCGTTACCTCTGTCTGTGTTTCTTATTATGTAATCTAGAACGACAAGTCGTTCGAATTGAAATCTGAACTCCCTTTGCGTTGCGGGTGGCATCCCATCTACTTCGAACCTCCTCAGCCAATAATCAGCGTCTTTATAACCGTCGACAAATACTTGAAATGAGCCGACCTGGAAAACCGTTTTTATTGTATTTTTATAAAATAAAAAATCCAATTCAAAATCTACCTTAGGTTTAAGACCCAATCTGTTAAATCTCTTTCCTACGATTGGACACGAATCGAACATAAAATGTTTAAAATGCGATGTTCCTCTAGCTATAGAATCATAATTAAATGTCTCACTGGTTAAATAAACAACCTAAAATTAGAAGTAAAAATTAAAAAGCATATATTTTAAACATAAACCGGCCCAAAATGTAAAGGACTTACTTTAGTTTTTGGGACGATACCAAGATTGAGTTTTTGATCAACAAGGCTAGCCCCTGCTTCAGAAAGGTAGCCTTGGTTTGGTATTAAGCAGCTTCTTCCAAAGCAACACGGGCAGCATAGCCTGTGCATCCATTTGGTCCATTTGGGATTCAGTCTGCCATATGGCTCTTCATCTTTTGGCTTGAATACGCCAATTATTTTCTGAGAAAAATAAAAATAAATAAATCAACTACTTATTTTCAAGTATATAATTGTAAAAAGTCAAATGTCAATACTCACTCCACTAGGATTTTTTACGAAATAACTTCCCGATGATCCTTGATAAATTCTCTCAGGATAAACTTTGTTCTCGATCGCTGTGTGGGCTTGGATCATCAAATCAGAAAAAAACGGATCATCTGAAAAAAAAAAAAAAATTAAATATAGACTGGTGAGAGAAAAAGCGAACCAAACAACATACCAACACTGATTCATTTATGTGTGTTTTCATATTTAATTCTTATTATGTTTTTCTTCTAATGACAGTATTTCTACTACAAAGTTATAAAGTTTTATGAATCCTCAGGGTGCCGATGTTTTTGCAAAAAGCCCATTTGCAAGTATGTTGTGTTTGAATGTAAGGTTAATGGTTTTGGACTGGGACCTTTACCTCACAGTGATGAGTCAACGACTTAACTAATGCAACCACCGATCCCCCTAGTTATTCTTTTAAATTTTTTTTTTCTTTTTTTTTATAAGGTAGCTAACTGTGCAATCAGTAAACTCTAGCTTAATTTTATTTCTACATGCTTGTAAAGGTAAATATTAACTATATTATATACACTAAACAAACACCTTCACATTTTAAGGTTTTTAGGATTAAAATAAATCTGAAACGTTGTGGATAAAAACTGGCAGGTTGTGGTCCCCCCCCCCCTTGAGATGGCCTATTATCCCACCTTCAAGAAGGAAAAATCATAAGTTAAAATGTTGAGGTCAAAATAAAAGAAAACATCGTTTATATCAAAGCTATTTAATTACTGAATATTATACATTAAATAATATTGATTAAGGGGGTCAATGGGAGCCCAGTGGTTACTGCATCTGATTTGTATTTAGCACACTAGCAGTTCTGGGTTCGAATCTTGGTCCAGCCCATGGAATTTTTATTGCTTATAATTTGGAAAAAAGTGGACCCTCAATGAGTAGTTGGATAAACCCACCTTTATCACAGGAATTAATTTTTATCTAAGGTTTGTAGTTGAGATGAAAAATTAGTGTCGCAAGCGGGATTCGAACCCACAACCTTTGACTAAATACGCTGATACTCTACCATTTGAGCTATCGTAACTTCGATCCTCTTGGATACCAACTTCTCATCTCAACCTACAACCGTTTGAATTTACCCTCTTTTTGGCCATCTTTTCATCTCGACCAAATACCTTAGATAAAAGAATAATTAATATGGTCAATTATGACCACTAAATAAATTTGGATTAATTTAATAATTAAAAGAAGTAATTACTTCACTAATCCGTGGCCACTTCATAAGTCGCTGAGAATCGAATCTAGATTACACGACATTTGAAAATATGGCAAAAAGAGGGAAAATTCGAACGGTTGTAGGTTGAGATGGGAAGTTGGTGTCCGAGGGGATCGAAGTCATGATAGCTCCAGTGGTTAGAGCAGGGGTGTATTCAGCCGAAGGTCGTGGGTTCGAATCCCGCTCATGACATTAATTTTCCATCTCAACTAAAAACCTTAGATAAAAAGTATAATTAATTGGAATAATTAATATGGTCAATTATTACCACTAAACAAATATGGATTAATTTTTACTAAATGTTGATTTCAGGTATTCGTAAACGTGCACAAATGAGGCACATTGGTGATAAAATCTGTACAAAATTGAAAATGTAATGTAATAAAAATAAACTGTATAAAAAAAAATTAATGGGTGTGGTTTTATCTTTTGTTTGATATTGGAGAAATTACATGTCTCCCTCCCAACAAGAGATAAGCGGTGACATCATGAAACAAAGTAAAAAGGGAGCAACAAATTTCTTGAACGATGTCAATTGTCAAATTTACCCTGACAAAAATCTGATTCCATGAGTACAGAATACAGTTGAAAAATATGACTAGATTTCAGAAGTTTATAATGATAATGATCATAGTCTAATGATTTTTGCAAAATTACTTTCATTCTATTATTAATTTCTAAGTTAAACTGACAGATTAACTGTATCTGTTACCATAATCTGTATAATTTCCAAAATTTTTGGGTTGTTTCCATGTTTTTCCCGTTTGTACGTGAGAAAATGTTTCAATTGATTTACAGCCTCTGAAGATAAAATGATGTTCATTAATTATAGTTAACAAATAATTCTAACAGTTAGAGATTTTGATTGAACATGGCTTATTTAAATAATGTTTAGATCCCTTGTTGAATAATTATGCACTTGATCATAATTGGAGAGAAAAACTAGCACAGTATTCATAATAAAATATCTGTGAGATCCAGATTTAAAAGGGAGAATGATGTAATTTACCGCACATCAAGTTAAAGACTGATATTTATGCAAGAACCTTCACAATTTTTATCTTTTGATTGCGAGATTGCACTGATTCTGTCAACATTTTTCAACAAAAAGTTGAAAAATAATAGTTTTATTAATTATGCAATTGTAGTTCATTTATGTATTATGTAGAAATGTTCTCTTTAGTTAATAGGTGCTATGATTACCCGAGAGCTACTTTAAAATCATGGTTGCATAATTTGTTTTAAAATATATAATGTGTAATTTGGCTCTAATTTGCCCACACTAGCAGCTCTGGGTTCAAATCCCGACAGAACCTATGGATTTTTTATTGATCCCTCGTTTGAAAAGTTAATTTGTTTGTGTTTGTAAGACTTTTTATTAATGTTTTTAAATTGAACATTTTGACCCATCTGTTCGACCAAGCGATAGAAAAACGTGCCCTAGAGCATGCAGGCTGCTTTCTTGCACTGAATAACTCCAAGTTAGAAGCATGTTGAGAAATAATGCTAATCATAATTTTTGAAATACCTTTGGCACAACAAGGAAAATAACTTATTTGCTTATGGCAATACAAACTGCAGTTGTTGGCATGAATGATGATGAAGAAACAGTACTGATAATAGAAAAGAAACTATCTGGGGAGCTGTAAGACACAGTCCTAAATTAAAACACCACAAATCTTGAAGAGCAATTGTGTACATGTTTTGAAAGAATGTTGTACATTCTAGCTTGCAGATGATCCTGGCAATTTTTTTTTGAAAACTGAACAAAATAAAATAAACAATAAAACATAACATAAATGTTATACACCAGGTTTTTTCTAAAGCTGGCATACAACTTTAACACAGCTTACCTTCACCAACTGATGCAAAGGTTTATTTCATTTTTTTGAGTGTTAAATATAGATATAATTTTTAATATTTAATTGTAATAAGTTGGAAGAATAAACATTTATGAAATTAACCAAACAAGAGGAAGTTTTATTTGTAATAAAACAATTAACCTGGGGGGGGGGCTAAAACAGAAACAGTGGTATAAAATACAATAAGACACGTTAGAGGCAAATTCTTCTTGCTTGTTAGTATGTTCCTGGCAGATTGATTTAAAATATAAAAGATCATAAACAATAAAACAGGTCAAATAAAAGAATTACCTTGATAATAGATGTTTTTACTATTAGTAACAAAAATATTTTTTGGTTGAAATGAAGATTATGTACAATTAAGGTTTTTAGTTGAGATAAAAAAGTCAGTGTCACGAGCGGGATTCGAACCCACGACCTTTGGCTAGATATGCCGCTGCTCTGCCACGTGAGCTATCATGACTTCGATCCACTTGGACACTAACTTCCCATCTCAACTCCATCTTTTGAATTTTCCCTCCTTTTTGCCATTTTTCAAGTGGATCAAAGTCACGATAGTTCAATTGGTAGAGTAGCGGCGTATCTAGCCGAGGGTTGTGGGTTCGAATCCCGCTTGTGTATGCACATGTATGTGTGTGTATGTATTTTAGAATAATTAAGGGAGAAAACATGAGTTATCTGATTGTGTTTATTTTAGCCAGATAATAAGATCATAAAATTAGTTAAATTATGGCATAGAATAACTCCGTGATATAAGAATTTTCTCATTAATACGAAGTTGTATTTATAGTACAATATTAGCAAGAGAAAGAAATAAAAGCAAATTTGATTATAATATGCAGTAATTCATATAAAAAAAAAAAAAAAAATCGATATTTATGTGAAACTCTATTGCATCACTTCACCATGAGTCTGTTTCAAAGCATCATTTTGCAATGAAAGTTCATAAATAAGAGAAATGTCTATTGCTAGATAAGGTACATTTATGTAGAAATGTTCTCTCTCACTTGTCAGCAATAATTCTGCCATACAAGTTTGTCATGATTTATCTAATGATATTCAGTTTGTGTAAGATTTTAAGAAATTAATTCTGTTTTCAAGAAAAAAAGCTAATTAATACAGATTATGCTATATTTCATACAATCTTATGAGGGGTGGAAACTGAATCTAAATCTTCTAAAACTGAAAAATTCAGTACAAATATTCTAAGAGGGTTATGAGGGATTCAGAGGTTTGTAAATTTTATAATATTTAAGATACTTAGGCAAAAATCTCGTCACAATTTGGCCAGGGATTATAATTGTATTTAATACATTTATATTTTAGTGGTCAATTGACCAAGTTGCTTCGTTCAATTAATTTTTCTTTTTATGTAAAGTCTTGGTTGAGATAAAAAAAAGTCAGTGTCACGAGTGGGATTCGAACTCACGACCTTCGGCTAAATACACCGCTGCTCTACCACTTGAGCTATCAAAGTAGGACATTGAAGTCACGATAGCTCAAGCGGTTAGAACAGCAGCGTATTGAGCCAAAGGAAGGTCATGGGTTTGAATTCCACTCTTGACACTAATTTTTCATCTCAACCAACAATGTTAGGTGAAAAGAATAATTAATTGGAACAATTAATATGGTCAATTATGGCCACTAAACAAATATGGATTAATATATGATGACTTTGATTAGAATAAAAAATTAACAATCTTGACATTTATAGTTTGTTCACTTCATTTTATTTTGCTCTGCCTACCCTTGCTGGACCAAACACACTGATGAGATTCACCATACTGCAGAACCCATGGAAATTTTATAATTTAACATAGGCATTTATTGGAAAGATAAACAGTAAATGTGTGAGAATCGACAGACCCATAGAAGTGATCTGTGCCTATCAGTGTATCTTGTGTTTGTCGGTCTGCATACCGACCACACATTTTAACATTGGCTTAGATGTGAAAGGAAAAAATTTTGTGCTGATTGATTATACACAATCTTCAAGGGCTGGTGTATAAAGAGAAATCTTTATTCTCTTGGGTTTTCATTTCTCTTGAATGTTATTGTCTCATGCCAGCATCAGTGAGGAATTCCATTGTCAGAGTAAACTAGTTGTGAGTGTAAACTAGCAACAAAACACGAACTTAGAAAATTTATCAGTGTCGATCAGTTCATCATGTGTTCATCGACTTGAAGACAACGCACACAAGGATGTGTATAAACAGAAATCTGGCATAAAACACTGTCAGGTTAGAGACCAATCATATATTAAAAAAAGTTGCCAAGCCTGACACCTCTACATTTTTGGCAGTGTGATCAGTTCATCATGTATTCATCGTCTCAAAGATGAACAAACACAAGGGCTAGTATATCCAGAGAAATTTGGCATAAAACACTATGAGGTTAACGACCAATCGTATGATGAAAAATAAAGTAATTCCTGTCATACAGACTTAACGCACAACTATCCATTGGTTGTCTCAGATGACAGGTTTAAACAATTTTAAATACTTCTTTTTTTACTCTATTCCAATTCCATGAGCTATGCTAAGTTTTCAAACTCAGAACCCCTAGCATGGCAAATATGACTAGCCACTCAATTGTATATATATAAGTGAACGTTTATTCTTGACTGTACTTATTTGTTTGTCAGGTCTATAATGTAGGCAATTTATTTTCTTAAATAAAAAACAAAAAAACAAGTTTGTAAACAATAGAAACAGTCGACATAAGTGTTACATAACAGAATTTTTTTTATATGCTTGAGATACAGACCAGATCTGCCTTCACTGGTTTGTCATTACAATGGTTATTACATAATCACTTTTTTTTGGATTATGTTTAATCTGGATTTGTTTAAATCGTAATTAAGATCAAAGAAGCTGATATGTTTAAATTTGAGCGATTATTTTTTAAAATTTAATATCTTGATATTTATAGTTTAGTAATCAGGCTGTAAGGGATTTTTTGTTAATTGAGGTTTTTTAATTAATTGATTCAGTCGGGATTGATTTTTTCGGTCGCTTTTGCCTGATGTGTTTAGTTTTTAAATTTTTAATGTTGTAATTGAAATAGAGAGGTGCCCACCTGGGAATTGGTTGGTGTTAAGGGTCTGGTTGTTGTCCATCCTGGGTAGAAGCGGCTCTCGCTCGTCGTTGCTGTTCCTGGATTCTAGAGCTGGGCCGCCGTTGCTGGTGCTCGGCGCGAATGCGATCGAAGGTAGTCCCTGCCCAGGGTGGACGAGGCTGGAAGTCTCTTCCGGCTCTGAAACATCTGAAGAGGTGGAGACCCTCCTTCCGCCGTCGCCGGCCCCGGCCGGGTCGGGCGGCTGCTCCTCGGCTGACATAGATCTTTCGCGGTTAGAGCATCCAGGGACCGGACCGGTGACGATCTTAGTTCCGACTCTGAGCCGATCTTTAACTCGGGAGAGATAATAGAACAAGGGAAGGTGATAGTCAGCGGCCGACCAGCTGGCCCTGAGTCACATGTATCGCTTGGCTCAATGCCGCCAACGGTAACGAAGGACGAAATATTTTCCCTTTTTTTCCTTACGTCAATCCCCGCCCATTAAGTGTGATTTAACTTATGTTTCTCGTCAAAAGGGATGACACAAGACGGCTCTTTCGTGTTTCCCTTTCTACTAATGATACGCGATAGTGTGGATGCTCTTTCACTCTTCTTTTAAAATCCTGCCTCAAGTATTTAATTTTTTTTTAAATAATAATTTTGACTTAATAATAATAATAAATCTTTATTTGCATGAATGTACGTTACATATAAATTTACAAAAAAAAAATATTTCGGTACATCCCTGCCTGCCGTCAAAAAGCAAAGCTTGTACTAGACAGCAGGAGTTTTTCTTTTTGGACATCATCAGAGAAATCAACAGAATATATCTGTACAAAAGTATAATGAAAAACAAACAAATAAACCAACATAATACAGAATAAACGTATAGCATGAAAAAAGACCAACCAAATTAAATCGTGCCTTTAAAATATCTTAATTACAATTTAAAATTTTTGAAATTAGAAATTGTTTTCTTTCTTTATAGTTTTTGAAATGCAAGTTATAAGTATTATATGTAGAAACATGAACATTCATTACTTTAAATTCACTGTATAATTTTTTCGTATTATATGGTTCACGTAAAATAATTTTAAGAAGTGGGTTTATATTTTCATACAGAGTCTTAGTGTAACATTTATTAGTACCTCCCCAGGAAGGAATACCATAGGCTATCATGGATTGTGCAAGAGAAAAAATATATTGCCCTTAAGAGTTCAATTTTAATTGTGTAAAATTCTAAATTTATAAAAGAGCTTTCTGAGACGGGAAACCAATGAATAAATATGTAAATTTAATTTCAAATTTGAGTCCAATGTCACACTGAGATATCTAACGCTGTAAGCAAAAGGGATAGGCATGAAAGAACACACATCATCATCACAACTATGAAAAGCAAATTTTAAATTATTAATATTTATTTTCTTTTTTAATGAAAAGTGTAATACGTTACATTTTTTGTGTGTTTAAAAGTAGAAAGTTTGAGCTTAACCAAAAATTAATCATTTTCATATCATTATTTATAGTTTTGGTTAAATTAATTAAATTATCACCTGAGAAAATGATACAAGTATCATCTGCATAATAAATATTTTTACAGAGAATGTAATTTTCAAAAAATAAGTAACAAAAGAAACAAAATTGGGCCTAAGACTGTACCTTGTGGTACTCCCGATTCCACGCGAAAATAACTATAAACTGTTCCAACCTTTGTGACTAGAGTTCTGTCCGATAAATATGATTCAAGGAGATTATGATCAACAGTGTCGAAAGCCTTTTTATTGTCCAGAAATAATCCAGTAACGTAATTATCTTTGTTAATTTATTGTGAAATCAAATTATTAATATCAAACAAAGCCTGCTCAGTGGATCGGCCCGGAAGAAAACCATACTGTTTTGGAAAAATTATTCTATTTTCAATAAAGAAGTCCAATAATCATGTTTAATTGTTTTATGTAGAATTTTGGGAATAAAGGTAATGAGATAGGCCTATTATTAACCTCTAGTTTTGAACCAAATTTAAATAATGGTATTACTATGGATTTTTTAAAAGCAGATATTGACCAAGTGAATAAGCTAAATTAAAAATGTGTACCAAAGGTGGAATTATAAAGTTAGAAATTAATTTGTTGGTAAAAATATTTTAGATCAAGATTGTCGGTTATTTTTTTTTACTTCATTTATTTTTTTGTCTACTGTACATTTATGATATACAACCAGCAGATTGGATTTCGATTTATGAATGTGGCATTACGAGCGTTATATAGAAAGCTACCCATTGGCAGTCTCTCTTGATTAATAAAATGAAATTAATCATTTAATAGGTCCCTTATCCATATTCTTTTCAGACGTTTACGTGGTAATTGTGGGGAATGGAGTAATCGAATTAGTTAGTATGATTTGGTAATTTACTATGCAAACGTCTATGATATGTTTTGATGGATGAAAAAAATGAACAGCGGGTGTAATAAGATTATTTTAGAGTTATCGCGGATGGGCAACAAAAACGTTATCTAACGGATAATTCCAAAATACCGTTTTGACATCATCTACGGTCCAAAATTTATGTTCGTTTTCCGAAGTGTGGGCGTAACTAAGGGAAAAATGTCGAACAGGGATGGTAATTGCATTTTAACATTCCAATTACCAAGGATAATGTCGGCAAATGTGCAATTTTTATTTTTTGAGGAACTATTTTGTCTTTCTCTTTTCATCTTTGACATGGTTGAAGGGCAAAATTACAGACAAAATCGGTTCTTCCTAAATTTGGTAAACGGTCATGTTCGTATAAACAAAATCAATTATCAAACGGGCTCTAATCAGTTTGTGTATGTCGGATTTGTTATTTGATTTTTAATATTGAAGGTCATGAAAATGAGATAAAACAAATCATGCACGTATTACTTCTCTTACATATTTCAAATGCGCAGAAAGCTTTCATATAAAATCGGCATTGCAGAAAAGTTTCCATTAGTTCCGTAGACTCGAGCCAAACAAAGAGTATAATGTTCTAATTTAAACGATGTTTAATATTTGTTGTCTGTTTATTAGTCAGAAAGTTTAATAATTAAAAATAAACAAACTAAAATTGTTTTCTTTCATCTCATATACTCCTTGTTCACTATTCCTAATTCTAAGTCTTATTGAAAAAGTTGCCAGTTTTGTAGATTTATCGACCAACTTATGCAGATAATGTTCTCTTAGATGTTATCTGGGATGTGGTCAAAGAAAGATATTTTTAATTTTAACTCTTCGCCTTTCTTTCGGAAGTTTTTTTTTCGAGGGTTCGCAACAGCAGAGGTCATATCAACCCTCGGGGTGTCGGTGGTTTTGAAAAAAAAAAAAAAAGTTTGTAAGAGTATGTCGGGTTCGGATTCAGGGCCGCTGGATTCGAACCCGGGACCTTAACCTTACAGTGATGAGGGCCGCGTCAGCGTCTAACGTTTCGGCCACCGACACCCCCTCCGGAAGTTTATTGTACCTTCCTCAGGGCTCTACAAAAGGATATATTATACATTTTAATTTTAGCCAATTTAATATCTATATGTATTATATTAATATGTATTAATATAATACATATTAATCCATATTTGTTTAGTGGCCATAATTGACCATATTAATTCATATATATGGTCTATATTTAATCAAACCGCATCTCACGATTTCTGAATAATCAGAATCATTGACCATATTAATTATTCTTTTCATCTAAGGTTTTTGGTTGAGTTGAAAAATTAGTGTCACTAGCGGGATTCGAACCCACGAACTTCGGCTCAATACGCCGCTCAAGCGGTTAAAGCAGCGTAGTATTGAGCCGAAGTTCGTGGGTTCGAATCCCGCTCATGACACTAATTTTTCATCTCAGCCAAAAACCTTAGGCGAAAAGAATAATTAATTGCATCAAATATATATTATAAGAACAAGACACAACTTTTTTGTATTTACTGATTTTTGGTCGGAAGTATATAAACTTAAATTATATTTTATTTATAAACCTTTTCAACTAGGCGAAGAAGAAAGTGAAAAGGCTTTCAGTGTTAACATGAAAATAATAGAACTTAAGTTAAGAAGAAGGTACAGTAAAATTCCAAAGCGTAGATTTAAAATTAAAAATATCTTTCTTTAACCACAGCCCTGATAACAACCAAGAGAATTAATTATAAAAAATTAATCTTTATGTAAGGTATTGGTTAAAATGAAAAAGTTAGTGACATGAGTGGGATTCGAACCCACGACCTTCGGCTCAATACGCCGCTGCTCTAACCACTTGAGCTCGACATCGAAGTCACGATAGCTCAAGACTCAAGTATTGAGCCGAAGGTCGTGGGTTCGAATCCCGCTCGTGTCACCAACTTTTTCATTTCAACCAATACCTTACATAAAGATTAATTAATTGAAAATAGTTGTTTGGTCGGACCACGAAATATAATGGATTATAAAAAAAATATTACAAGAAAAACTAATTATAGATTACAAGTTTAAAAAAATCCATAAATAAAAACAAGTGAATGTCAAAATATTAGTGCTTTACACTTGCATGTTGTGTATCAAAAACGTTGAATCATGGATATGTCTTCAAACATAACTCTAATATAATCTAACTCTAGTTGTAACTTTAACTTTACTTAAAATATCCTAAAGTTGAAGGTGGCTGTTGAATATAGAGAGTTGTTCCAAGAAGTTGGAATAACAAAGTATTTGAGTCACATAAAAACCTGCGAGTATATAAGATGTAGTAAGTCAGGGATGGTTTAATATACTGCGCCCTTTGATAGCTATTGTATCCCCTGTTCTGTACCTATAGCAAACTGGTCCTAGTTCATAAATTAATTTTATTAGTAGGCCCGTTCTCTTCTACGGTTAGGTAAGAACTATCCTAAACATTTGCAGATAACAGTTTGTACTAGGTGCGTTGGTGTCTCCTCTGCTTCCTTGCAGAATCTGCGGCGTTGGATTATAGCAATATTCCTCAAATGGCCATTCAGTCCTCAGTGTCTTGTTAAGAATCCTATTATGATTTGAAGTTTTTCCTACATCCTTTCATGCATAGTTTCTTTCATTTCGAAAATCGCTAGTAGGTTCTTTGATTGTCTGCCACTGTATATACAGGGGGTATCAACTCTACAGTCCACCCATTTAATTCCGAAACTATTAACATTAGCAAAAAATGGTTTTATATACAATACAAACTTCAAGTTAATTTTGGTGAGGAATCGCGTGGTCGTAACAGATTTAACATAACTTTCTCATCTAGCTGGGAAATGACACTAACTTTGTTATTTTAAATGAGAATCCCATATTTTTATTGTACAATTCGATTCTAGAACTTATTTTATGTAACTTTTATTGAAAGGGCAATTTCGATAAGATCGACCATTTCTGAGATTAACTTAAGCAAAAAATTATCTTATTCAAACCTCAAGTAACTT